CAGTCACATGCACTGCCAGTGTAGTTGGGGTTGCACTCACACACACGACACTTGCAAACACCATTTCCTGCAATTAAGCATACCATTTCTCAAACTAAAGGTAAAAATATACAATCACAGTATTGACTGAAAAGTAAAATAAGCAACAACGTGTGAGGAAGTATACCTGGGGCAGAACTGACCCTCGAGCTGCCCCTTTTCTACTTATGCACCAAGTAAACTCTAGATTTTTTGTGGCATTAGATGAGATCACGTCTTACAACCACTTCAGGTCCTTTACTTACCTCCACAAATTAAGCCATTGGATCTATCACAGTTGAAATTATCACACTCGCAGAATTTGCCAGAATAAATTTCATTTGTATTATCCCTCTTCCTACAAACACACTGTCCACAAACGCACTCTCCATTGTTACTGCAGATTTCTGAACTGTTTTCTTTTCTGCAGTAAGCGTCCATGTCTTCACTGTTAACTTCATCTGTGCTGCATTCACAATGTCTACCAACACGCCCTTCGTTGCACCTGAAGAAACATTCCAAAATTGCAATCACACAAAACAAAAATAATTTAAGAGGTTCCAAGATGGCCGAATAGGAAGAGCTCCAGTCTACAGCTCCCAGCATGAGCAATGCAGAAGATAGGTGATTTCTGCATTTCCAACTGAGGTACTGGGTTCATCTCATTGGGGCTTGTCGGACAGTGGGTGCAGCCCACAGACTGTGAGTCGAACGAGGGTAGGGCATCGCCTCACCAGGGAAGTGCAAGGGGTTGGGGAATTCCCTTTCCTAGCCAAGGGAAGCTGTGACAGTACCTGGAAAATCAGGACACTCCCACCCTAATACTGTGCTTTTCCAATAATTTTAGCAAATGGCACACCAGGAGATTATATCCCGCGCCTGGCTTGGAGGGTCCCACGCCCACGGAACCTCACTCACTGCTAGCACAGCAGTGAGATCGAACTGCAAGGCGGCAGTGAGGCTGGGGGGGGGGCGTCCACCATTGCTGAGGCTTGACTAGGCAAAGAAAGCGGCCGGGAAGCTTGAACGTGGCTCAAAGAAGCCTGCCTGCCTCTGTATACTCCACCTCTGGAGGCAGGGCAGAGCTGAACAAAAGGCAGCAGAAACTTCTGCAAACTTAAACGTCCCTGTCTGAGAGCTTTGAAGAGAATAGTGGTTCTCTCAGCATGGAGCTTGAGATCTGAGAACGGACAGACTGCCAGCTCAAGTGGGTCCCTGATCCCCAAGTAGCCTAACTGGGAGACATCTCCCAGTAGGGACCGACTGACACCTCATACAGCCAGGTGCCCCTCTGAGATGAAGCTTCCAGAGGAAGGATCAGGCAGCAACATTTTCCGTTCTGCAGTATTTGCTGTTCTGCAGCCTCCACGGGTGACACCCAGGCAAACAGGATCTGGAGTGGACTTCCCGCAAACTCCAACAGACCTGCAGCTGAGGGTCCTGACTGTTAGAAGGAAAACTAACAAAGAAGGAAAACTAACAAACAGAGAGGACATCCACACCAAAACCTCATTTGTATGTCACCATCATCTGCAGCTGAGGGTCCCAACTGTTAGAAGGAAAACTAACAAACAAAAAGGACAACCACACCAAAACCCCATTTGTACGTCACCATCATCAAAGACACCCATGGTAGATAAAACCACAAAGATGGGGAGAAACCAGAGCAGAAATGCAGAAAATTCTAAAATCAGACACCTCTTCTCCTCCAAAGGGACACAGCTCCTCAACAGCAACGCAACAAACCTGGGCGGAGAATGATTTTGACAAGTTGAGAGAAGGCTACAAATGATCGGTAATAACAAACTTCTCCGGGCTAAAGGAGGATGTTTGAACTCATCGCAAAGACGCTAAAAACCTTGAAAAAAGATTAGACGAATGGCTAACCAGAATAAACAGCATAGAGAAGACCTTAAATGACCCGATGGAGCTGAAAACCATGGCACAAGAATTACGTGACACATGCACAACCATCAGTAGCCGATTTGACCAAGTGGAAGAAGGGTATCATTGATTCAAGATCAAATGAATGAAATGAAGCGAGAAAGTTAGAGGAAAAAAGAGTAAAAAGAAAGGAACAAAGCCTCCAAAAAATATGGGACTATGTAAAAAGACAAATCTATGTCTCATTGGTGTACCTGAGAGTGTTGGGGAGAATGGAACCAAGTTGGAAAACACTCTTCAGGACATTATCCAGGAGAACTTCCCCAACCCAGCAAAGCAGGCCAACATTCAAATTCAGGAAATACAGAGAATGCCACAAAGATACTCGAGAAGAGCAACTTGAAGACACACAATTTTCACATTCATCAAAGTTGAAATGAAGGAAAAAATGTTAAGGGCAGCCAGAGAGAAAGGTTGGGTTACCCACAAAGGGAAGCCCATCAGACTAACAGCGGATCTCTCGGAAGAAACTCTACAAGCCAGAAGAGAGTGGGGGCTAATATTCAACATACTTAAAGAAAAGAACTTTCAACCCAGAATTTCATATCCAGCCAAACAAAGCTTCATAAGTGAAGGAGAAATAAAATTCTTTACAGACGAGCAAATGCTGAGAGATTTTGTCACCACCGGGCCTGCCTTACAAGAGCTACTGAAGGAAGCACTAAACATGGAAAGGAACAACCGGTACCAGCCATTGCAAAAACATACCAAACTGGAAACACCATTGATGCTAGGAAGAAACTGCATCAACTAACCAGCAAAATAACCAGCTAACATCATAATGACAGGATCAAACTCACACATAACAATATTAAACTTAAATGTAAATGGGCGAAACGCCTGAATTAAAAGACACAGATCAGCAAATTGGATAAAGAGTTAAGACCCATCAGTGTGCTGTATAAAGGAGACCCATCTCACGTGCAGAGGCACACACAGGCTCAAAACAAAGGGATGGAGGAAGACCTACCAAGCAAATGGAAAACAAAAAAAAGCAGGGGTTGCAATCCTAGTCTCTGATAAAACAGACTTTAAACCAACAAAGATCAAAAGAGACAAAGAAGGCCATTACATAATGGAAAAGGGATCAACTCAACAGGAAGAGCTAACTATCCTAAATATATGTGCACCCAATACAGGAGCACCCAGATTCATAAAGTAGGTCCTTAGAAACCTACAAAAAGACTGAGACTCACCACACAATAATAATGGGAGACTTTAATACTCCACTGTCAACATTAGACAGATCAACGAGACAGAAAGTTAACAAGGATATCCAGGAAATGAACTCAGCTCTCCACCAAGCAGACCTAACAGACATCTACAGAACTCTCCACCCCAGGTCAACAGAATATACATTCTTCTCAGCACCACATCACACTTATTCCAAAATTGACCACATATTTGGAAGTGCGGCACTCCTCAGCAAATGTAAAAGAACAGAAACCATAACAAACTGTCTCTCAGACCACAGTGCAATCAAACTAGAACTCAGGATTAAGATACTCAAAACCGCTCAACTACATGGAAACTGAACAACTTGCTCCTGAATGGCTACTGGGTACATAACGAAACGAAGGCAGAAATTAACATATTCTTTGAAACCAACGAGAACAAAGACACAACATACCAGAATCTCCGGGACACATTTAAAGCAGTGTGTAGAGGGAAATTTATAGCACTAAATGCCCAAAACAGAAAGCAGGAAAGATCTAAAATTGACACCCTAACATCACAATTAAAAGTCGAGAAACAAGAGCAAACATATTCAAAAGTTAGTAGAAGGCAAGAAATACCTAAGATCAGAGCAGAACTGAAGGAGACAGACAAAAAAAAAAACCTCCAAAAAAAATCAATGAATCCAGCAGCTGGTTTTTTGAAAAGATCAACAAAATTGATAGACCACTAGCAAGACTAATAAAGAAGAAAAGAGAGAAGTATCAAAAAGACGCAATAAAAAATGATAAAGGGTATGTCACCACCGACCCCACAGAAATGCAAACTACCATCAGAGAATACTATAAACACCTCTATGCAAATAAACTAGAAAACCTAGAAGAAATGGATAAATTCCTGGACACATACACCCTCCCAAGACTAAACCAGGAAGAACTTGAATCTCTGAATAGACGAATCACAGGCTCTGAAATTGAGGCAATAATTAATAGCCTACCAACCAAAAAAAGTCCAGGACCAGATGGATTCACA